ATATACACACACAAAAGGTCCTAAAATGGTTCAAAAACCTTAAATGACAATGTATGAGGACCTTAGGAGAGCTACCGTCAAACCTAAAGGGAAATAATTTAAAATGACTCAAACTGGCCAAAAGTTCTTCACGATCATAAGATCAAGATTATTCCAAAAGTCAGTTTCCAAATGGGCTTCTACAAATTACTGTTTTTAACTCGGCCTCCGCATTTCAGCTTTTAAATAATTAATTTTTGTTAAATTTAACGACACATTGCATAAGTTGCATTCCTCTACCTCATTTCAAGACGTGGTAGAAACAAGATGAGTTTTATTCCATCCTGATTTGTTAAACTTTACAAGTGAAAGGTTAAAAATATATAATTCTGCCATATTTGGGTTTTAAGCCAAAGTTTTCCCATTAATAAAAAAAAAATGATTTTTTAGCGTTAAAACTGAACAGTTGAATCCTGTTGCCCCTAAATTACAACAAACTAATTTTAACTAAATTTACTTAAAACTGCTGTGTTAAATTTAAACTCCTGCAGCTGTAAAACGTCACTAAAAGGGTCTTGAGTAGGAGAGGCTGTGAACGTGAAAACAAAAGAGCATAAAAGCCACCCACCCTGCAGTGAAGCCCACCCCTTCAGTTCAGACGGGGGGAGAGTGGGGGGGTTGGCGTACAGTAGAAACACGCATTTTCACTTTTGACCTCGTGTAACTGCAGGTTGTAGTAACGGCATCCCCGAGTTTTATAAAAGTGTTGAGTAATTGGAGGTCATCTTGTTAAAGTTAACGACTCAGCACCTTGTTAAAGATGACTGGGGGGGGGGGGGCAACTGCAGCAATCAGGAATTATACAAAAACACAAACAAAATGAAGCAAAAGCAAAGAAAAGTCCAAATCAACCCTTTATTTTCTCTCTCCAAGGGAATTATAAACATTTACATGAACCGTAACAATACTGGGAGGAGGGTTTAAAATCTTCGCAGACAACGTCGGATTTCAGCCTGTATTTCTCCGAGGTTCCCTACTGTCTAGAGGCACTCTATTACAAGGAAACGCATGAAATGTCTTGACTAGACTACAGGAAAATAATACCATCGCTTGAGAGGATGAGAGGGCGTCATCTCTTGAACTGTAATGTAAAAGGAAGTGCTTGAGAAGAGCCCCGACATGGCATGAGGGGGAGGTATAAAACAAAAACCTGGGATTTCCAAACATGTTTATCAAATGATCACTTATTGAGTGTCACCTCAAATGGCAAAAACAACAAAAAAAAACTTTGTCACAGATTATTCAGGATGCGCTGCAATCTGAAATTTGGACTCTCCTCCGGGCTCAAGTGCAACATTCAGTCGTAAATCTGGCATCAGACACCGTCACTGTATGGCTTACAAGGTAAACAGGTCCATATAAACTAGGAAGGTACATATAGACATCTTTTGTTAATCAAAATTATGATACAGCAATATATTGGCAAAAAAAACTAAATAACTAGCTTATGTAAACAAAAATACACCAATGTACAGCTTATTCTAACATGTTATTTACAGGTCAAGTTCTTGTATTAGCTTGTTGTACAAAGGGTTAATGTAAAGACAAAACGTAGGGTGTACGCTGTGCATCAGGCAACTTCAACCGTCCCGTCTACCTGCAAAGAGCTGCATTCAACGATTCAAACAGCCTTAAGCCTACACACCTGTTAGACCACTCCTCCAGCTACACATAAATATATGTAGATAAATGTTTTAAATGATACGTAAGGCGGGCGGGGAGGGGTATATGGAGTGTGGAAGCATCACATTCTTTGCACGGAATTGTAACAGACAGGTTGAAGGATCTTTGGGGTGAATGCACTTTTTTTTTTTTACGATTTTCATTTGTTTTAACATGTTTAACAACATTAAGAGTGCAACAAAGAGGGTGGAAGAAAGGAGGCATGTCTGGGACAAATGTGCAAAATCTGCTATAAAGCAAAGTGACAGTGTTGCAAACTTTAATGAACGAGAGGGGACTGTACGGGGGGAGGGGGAGAGACGTCGGTGCAGACCCTTATTCCAACTTATACTGTATATACAAGGCACTAAGGAGAGGATTCAAGGGCCGCACGTCCTGTCTGATAACAGTCCTCAGTCCGGTCGGAATATAGGATATTTAGGTAAGAATTCTATAAGAATCACCTGCAGAAACAAAAAGATTCAATGTTTACACTTAATGTTCCAACACCAAAACTGTGAAAAATTATACTTCAGTCCGAGACCTAACATTCAAAATGTTGATTTTTAATAGGCAGTTTTCTTCTAATATTTTCCCACTGAAATCAATAAAATGTTCTTAAAGTATTATTCCATAACTAAAACGTACAGGAAGTCCTTATGTCAGATGATTGCCCAACTTGTTGCAGCGCTGATTTGTGAATTTCCTGTTTTAACTTCATTAACACATTTTTTTTTTTACTATTTGCGCTTGGAGTGTGTTGGGGATGACCATCAGCTACTACCACACCAAACTTTAGCTCAACATCTGCAAAACTGACTGTGCTATACACGTTTGTGTTTTAGCTGTGGTGGCCATCTTGAATTGGGCTGACCACAAGTTAATCAGTTGCAGATGCACATGCAGTGATAAGTTTGAGATATTTTGCTGACAAACAAAGACAGGCATTATCGCCTTCAGTGGTGAATAATGATAATGTTACATACTGTAACAAATTAGCATTTATCTTAATAAATAGATGATTTATTAATATTTCAAACCGCTGACTCTATAGCTTTTCTGTATATTTTTTGTAGGACTGTTAGTCAATCAAAAGATTACTTATTTTAAGACATCATTACAGTTCATTATAGTTATTTTCTCATCAAATTTTGTAAACTTAAACAAAATAGCGTGTACTAAAACTTCAGGTGCTTTGTTGTAGTATACTCACAAATTCCATCATGTTGCTGCTTTCACATTTTCTTTTACTGAGCTTCCAGTGCAGGCCGAGCTGGAGGGACAACAGAAGACAAAGAATGGTCACTCTTGAACAGAAACAAAGACACTCCCACTCGCAAAGAAAAGAAAATCTGTCTGCGATCTCCCCTTTAGCGTCGGGGGAATCTGACAGCAGGACCGTCTGGTCTCGCAGAGGTCAAACTGTGGCCAGACACCCCGAAGAGCTTCCTTTATATCCTCACATGGCTACTAGCTGTAATTTGTTGCTGCGAGACAAAACAAAATTAACACGGCCTTTTGACTGCTGACCTCTGGATCTGTCTCAAAGAAGCTCTGAGGATCTTACGTGGCAGGTTGGTGTTTCCACAGACTAACGATCATTGTCCCATCGGCTCACACCTCACACCAACGCAGACGAGTTAAACACTTTCACACAGAAGCGTATGTACAAGCCGACGTCTTTCTTACCTTGTGGTATAATCTGTTATTCTCCCACTCTAACAGCTTCTGAATCGACCGTCTTGTCTTTTAAAAAAAGAGAAATGAAATTAACACGTTAAATGAGTTCATTATTGACGCAAAACACTCATAACTCCAACTTACGAACAGGTAAAAGTAAACTGTCCCAGCTTTGGGGATTTATGGACTGAACTCCTAATTTACCAGCCAGTAATTTCCACTTTGTTGTCAGCAACAGTGAGCAGTAACACAACCTTTTAAATGACACACCCTGGAGCTGGGAAGGAGTGACATGCATCGTTTTAAAGCCACAAACAGCGCTGTTATAATCACCACTAACGTAAGGGAGAGTTAAACAGGAGACCCGAGACCTACTCTCTTGTTGAGGCAGATTACAGGCCATAGACTGCAGCCGACTGTACAGCAGCAACACAAGCAGCCGCAGAGAAGCCACTTCACGTTCACTGGCAGGTTCTTCTTCAGACAAGCGTTCACTCTGCTGATGCTGGTTTTGAATTCCTCCGGTGCCACCTAAAATGAGGGGAGAAAACAAGGCACTACAAGTGGTTCTTGGTGTCAACCGTTCAAGGAAACACGAACAGGGGGATCAAAGAGCTGCAACAAACCAGAAGGCAGATATTTGTTGTCCAGATATGAGATCTTCTAGTTCTACACCCCTGACTTGTCACCCGAGCTCCAGACTGTTCAAGGCGAGGAGGGAGTCAAGGGAGAGATAAGCCCAGTGCCTGTGGCAGCGCTGGCCAAACAACTTGAATGGACACTCATTCCTCGCCGAGTCTGTACGCCATAAAACGGGGGTCGTAATCTTTTATGACAGGATGCAAAGGTCTCTTTGCAAACAGCCAAAGAGCTCAGAATAAAGCCCAGCAGGGTCTGATCTGCACCCTTCAATCATCATAATTGTGACCTCATCCATCACATGTCACCCTGGGTCACAATGCTGAAGGTACTTTTTATTGCCCCACACTTCCCTCGGCCCGCTCTCACCCCCGCAGCCTTTTTGTGTTTTTGCGTCCGACCCAGGAAGCTTCCCTTTCTTGTCTGCGGCAGAATCCTCATTTTCATTCTTTTATCACCTGGCGCTGGACCCTCCAAAACACTGGGGCCAACCGAGCCCCCTATATGTAGCTTACTCATTTACAGAGTTGGACGACAGCACATTGAAGCTCTTTTCTATGCAATGTGTGGCACGTTGCTTATAATGCATCTCAGATCAAAACCACTCGGGGAAGTCTGAATGGGATGGTTTGGGGAAGTCGGGGCCGTTAAAGGAGCAACAGAACAAAAGAATCAGTGCAGCTTTGACTGCTTGATTCCTCCCGCCTGGATCTGAACAGAAAGTAAGAGCATCCAAAAAAACGACCGTACCTTTCCCGTGAGAACAGAAGGAAATTCTGTGTCAAATCTGTTGCTCAGTCCAAACCTAAGAGGAAAGAAGAAAAATATTTATTGTGGATTTTTTTTTTCTAAATTCTGATGTAACAACAAAAATAATGGAAAAAGATAAATTAGAAGTGACACTTTTGGACGTTCATTTTTTTTGTAGATTTTGCCAGTTTGACATAAAAACAAATCGGACAACATCACAAAAACGACACATCCTTTCATCATTATCTATAAACTGTGTGAATATTCTCTGTGATAAAACACCTGAGCATTATCATCTTTATATTTTTGTTTTATTTAAAGAATACAGGATAAATGTGTGTCATTAAAACACATCCGAAAGAGTCCTCCAAGTGTATTCTAAAAGTCAAACATTAGCAGACATAATTTAACTTGTAATTAAACATATTGGCAATATATTTATGAAACCAACAGTTTTATGATACTTTGTTTTTATTTCAAATGTGATGAGGCATTTCTAACTTTACATATATGTAGATTTACCAACATCACCACCATTGCCTTTGTTTAAGCAGTCGCTCTGCATTTATTACCTGCTGCCAAAAGGCCCGAGTCTTTGTTTGCTCATATGTCTGTCAGCAAAATATCTTATGACAAATTAAAAATAACTTTGCAGAAATGAGCACATCAACCCAATTCAAGATGGCCTCCACAATTATAGCCATTTTTATATTAAAAATAATAACATTTTTTGTTATGCAAACAAAATGGCTATAATTATGTCCGTTTTAAATATATTGTGTTAAAACTCAGTGTGGTAGTAGATGAGAGTCGCGCCCAAGACATAACATTATTTTTAAAGTATGACACGAGATGATCTCAGTGTATTCCTCTTACATTAAAGACAGCGGGTGTTATTCCTACAGGGAATGCTAGGCCCTTTACTTTTAAATAAAACCATGTTTGTAAAAGTAAATATATGCACACAGGTAATTAAAAACAGTTACAAAGCTATTACAGATAATAGCTTATCTGTAATATCAAATAGGTAGTTCTGCCTGTAGCCTAAAGTTTTATATGTACACAGAATTGCGTCACCAAATTTCTTCTTTTCTGTATAATCAAGTATGATAACATTTATATCTTTACACGAGGAAGATGGCTTGTGTAAAATAATTTAATGTCGATTAAAACAGATGGTAGTGTGTTATCTATTTTATTGTTTTTTATATATATATTGCCAAATCTGTGCCACTGGTCATAATACCTGGATTGTCCTTCTCTCAAGTAACACACCCCGGACTCTGCGTTGATTTAACGTGCTTTAAACGTCACGTCCTTGAAATAATAATGCCCCAGGTCCGACCGTCGCTCTAAGTTTGACCTTCCCGTCTTGAGACTTGTTCAAATGTAATAATGAAGCGTAACACTGAGATCAAGGCAGAGGCGCTGATAAGATGACTGATAAACACCATGTGGAAGGACGGCGATAAGACCTCTGGCTAACGGTTAAACGCATGTAAACACAACTAACGTGAATATTGACAGCTGGCAGAAACGTTAACGGTTGCCATGGAGATGAGAAAAGTGTTACTTTTAGGTTGGCCGGTGTTGTTTAAAAAATAAAAAATAACAGCGCCGACTTCACGGGTGGCTTCAGCTGACTGTTTTCGGTGTTTGTTTTTACGTTAGCTCACAGGTTAGCATTAGCTAAACAGGGCTAAGAATAACAAAGCGACCCCTCGGGACAAACACACACTACGAACACGGTTCTGCTTACACGGTGATGTGCCCGGCCCCACGCATGACCACGGGCTCCGGGCAGAATCTGGGCAAGTTATCCTCGCTTACTATGTGCTCATCCTCCTCGTCTTCTAACTCATAAATGGTATCAAAGTCCGACATGTTGGGGAGTAAGACGCTCATGACGTAACCTGCGCGGCTGCGCACTGACGCGCGATGGAAGCAGGTATGGGAGGTCGTTGTCTCATATAATATTAAAACATTTCTATCTATCTATCTATCTATCTATCTATCTATCTATCTATCTATCT